AAAAATATAATTATTTAAAATACAATATATACAATATTCTTTGCTCGGCTGGTGCAAGTTTTTCTGACCTTTCTATATAACAAAAAATAAATAAAAAATTAAAATGGAATGAATTAAAAAGAAAAAGTATTTTTCATTAGAAAAAAAAAATATATTTTGTAAGACTAGAAAAAATACTAAGCCTTCGACGCTTTATCAGAGTGGTACGGTACTTGGGAATATATGCTAATATTATATATGGATATAAAGCACATTGCTAAAAACTAATATACTCTATTTGAATATAGGCACGAGCTAAAGAAAAAACTTTACAGCTACAAACAAAAATGGGAATTTAATTGATTTGCAGTTTCAGTGCAGATTGCAAGCAAAATGAATAAAAGTATTATATACATATATCTATATATAGAGACAAATCTATGTCATATTATATACATACACAAGTATATATATATATATATTTTATGTGCCATTGTGAAGCATGAAACGTATTAGATTTCAATATATGTGGAAAGGTAGCCATGGCCATAAATTTAAATTGACTATGGATTGGAGCAGCTCAAATAAGAATAAAAAATAATAATAATAAAAAAGAATCAACAAGAAATTCGTGTAAATTTAATCAAAGAGCGCGAAGCGAGAAGCGAACAGCCAAGAAACAACAACAAGAACAACAACAGCAGCAGCAGCAGCGATAACTGGGCTAAATCTCTTAGGCAAGTTGGCTATAAATCTTAACGTAATATATATAAGGTGCATGCAGTGAGAGTATTTCACATACGCACTCGGCTGGGGCAAAGCTTTTTAAAATGATTTATGGACACTTTGGATGGGGCAACGGAAGGATGAGCATGTGCGAAAAGACTTAAGAGAGCAGGAGTGGGAGCAGGAGTAGCAAGTGGGAGCAGGAGTCAAAGGAGTGAACGCTTTGCTACCTTCAATTGCAATTACACTGAAATATATGTATATATATATATATATATGGAATGTATATATACTATATAAATACGTGAGTGTGTGTGCGTGTGTGTGCTTGGGCCTGTAGCATAAGTGAAAACACTTTTGCAGCCACCCACAGTGCCTTGTTATTTCAGTCTCGAAAGGCGAATGCATAAATTATGTTAAATTACCCACGCAGAGCTGTCCTTCAGTTGCCCACGATACACTTTAAATATACATATACATATAAATTTCGCATTTTTCATATATTTTACAGCTCGAATATATCATATTGGAATTCGCAAAGTTGTAAAATTTCCATTAACCTTTCAGAAAAAGGGTTTGACTCTTGGACGCTATTATTTATTAATAATATTCGGTGGAAATCTCATATTTTGACATTTAACTTCAGAGTGAGTTTCGAAAACTCTAAATATATATATATATACCTACTTCAATTCACGCAGCAATCGGCTTGTGAATTTGACTTCCTGCTGAGCGGAGACGCTCGCCGCCGGCAGCTGCAATCAAATGACAAAAACTTGTTGCCACATTTTAGAGACAAACTTTGATTTATTGAACATCGATTTGCACTCTACTGTATYAGCATGCCAAGTACACTGAGAGAAACCAATAATAATATATATTTATT